TGCCCCACAGCCCAGCTGGGCCGGGGCTCCAGCGGCACCCTGGCTCGGGGGCACAGGAGCTGCAGAGGAGCCCGCACGCCCCAGGGAAGGCAGCAGCGGCTGGGGCGCAGGCTGCTGTCCCACAGGGGCTGCAGCAGTGGGCAGGGGCACAGTGCCAGCCCCACACTCGGGCCATCAGGGACTGGGGCTTTAGGGCTGTCTTTACCAGGCACTCGCTGAACCTCCACAGCTCCTTCTTCTTGACCAGCTGCTCTAGATCTCTCCTCTTCAGAAACCTGGCTGCACGAAGAAGCACTTTCCGAGAGGCCTGCAGAGCAACAGGGAGCAGGACATGACACCGCAGCCCAGGGCACAGGACCCGTGTCCCTGGACCAAGGCCAGAAGGAGGCTGGAGCTTGGGAGGTGCCAGAGCAGGAGGCAGCCCAGCCCCTTCCCACGGAGACTCCAGAGCCCACAAGTGCTCACTTCTGCCACTTGCTGGTTCTCATTATGCCATTGGAAAAAAAGTGGGAGCAGGCTCTGGATCACGTGTTTCTTCAAGGATGGTTTTCCCTCATCCACTCCCAACTCCATCACCTTGGGATCCATGCTCAGCATTACAAAACCTTTGATCGCCAGGCGACGCCTCTCTTTGCATTTGTTCGCCAGGTCTCTTGAAAGATCTGCAGGATTCCATCCCCACATTCAGTCATGTCCAGGCAGTCAAGGACCTGCAAGGCACGCAGCAGTGACAGGGTGCCCGGCCGGCAGGAGCCCGGACCCGCACAGGGCTGTGCCCAGGCAGCAGCTGCGGCTGCCAGAGGGCTGAGAGGTGGAGGCAGCTCGGCCAGGCAGCGCTCGCCAGCAGGCTCACCTCCACAAGGAAGGCCATGGCGGGAACCTCCCAGCGGGGCTTCTCCCTGCTCAGCAGCCCCAGCAGGCAGAGGGCAACTGGGGAACACAAGGGGCTTGAGGCACGGCACATCTCCCTGTCAGGGGGAAACAGGCACTGTCAACCCTGAGCTGGGTGGGCAAACCTCTGCTGGGGCTCACTCACACAGAGGCCTGGTCTTTCCCCACCAGCTCAGGAGGGGACACATGCACCTTGGCAGGCGGCTCCTCCTGTGCCCCCGCCTCTCCCAGCCTCTTCCACTCTGCTCAGCCATCCCTGAGGGCTGACAAGGCCCTCTGACCCACGGCCACGGGCACTGTGGGGGTGCCCCGTGCCCAGGCAGAAATTACAGGGGCAGCGGGGACAAGGGGATCTCACCTGGCCAGCAGACCCACTGCGTAGTGGCAAGTGTCAGGCCTGAGGAGCGTGTCCCAGCCACGCTTACGTTCCATTGCCATCACAATATTTTCAAACTGCAGATGGCAAAGCAGGGTCTTCACGGTCAGCACTGCGAATCTGTGTGGAGAGAGAAGCCCAGGTCAGGCTGGGAGCCCTGAGCCTGCCCCAAGGGCATGGAAGGCACAGGAGGACTGGGATGGAGCACCTGCTGGGGTTCCTGGCGAAGCGGTGTTCCTCCCAGCATCTCCCCCAGAAGGTGGCAACCTCCTCTGGCATCTGCTCTGTGCTGATGAGAACTTGGAAGAGCAGATCCACGAGGAGACGGGGCGAATATTCCATCAATAGCTCTGGGTAGCGGATCATCTGGAGAATCTCCCAAACCACTATGGTTGCCTACAAAAGATAAACCACCCGGACCAGTGCCCACATATCCATGTGGCAGGACCCGAGCATGGGAGGGAAAGGCCAGGGGAGACTCAGGGGGAACCCCTGGCCTGGTGCCCCTGAACCTGCCCCTAGTCCAGGTTTCCAGCCTAGTGCCTGAGGCAGAGAGATAGCTTGGTGGGGGAGGATAGAGAACTATCAGAGAGGCAGCCTGGAGTTGATCAAAAACCTCAGAAACTCACAGCCAGGGCAAAGATGTCCTTGTCCCCCTCAGAGGTGGACGTGCCGTGCAGTGGCCAGTCCTCCAT